CATAGAACTGTTTCCAATGCTGGTTAAGCAACCATACTAGAGTACCCTACATCTGAGTTTAGTTTTGAGTATGTGTAGGATTACAGCTGCTTTTTTGAGGTCAAAGTCCAAACTGACCTCATCTTTCTTCATTTCAATTTTAATTAGGGATCTGAAGTTGTCAGCAGGTTGTTCTACAATCATTTTGTGCTAATCCCCCTTTTCCCTCCAATTAGGTTGCAGAGTTGAAAAAATATCAGTGAGATGTATTTAAATGAAGTGCATCTTTTCTCCCACACAAGCATTAGAGATTTCACTTTGCGTTGTGAAAGCTGAAATTTCAGACTCAGCAGTGAAGTCCCTAGGGCTGAGGGTTTGAACTGACTTAATGTTTAAGTGCTTTTTCCTCATCGTAGCTTGTTGTAAAGTTACCTTGTCTCTAATAGTCATTTTGTTACCCTTAGGGTGCCTTAGGGTTCTTAGTGAAACCTATTTTTGACTCCCTGGACTTTCTTCTAGCTTGCAAAAAGTAAGTAGGCCATCTCTTGCATCTCGTCTTACCTGCTTCTAGACAGAAGATAGGGTAAACATAGTCCTTAAAACAGTCAGCATATTAATCTCCAGATCAATTTATAGCATTCCCTTTTATTTTAATCAAGTTTTTGCTATCTAGTAGACTGTAGTCAGAGAAAGTGTGCCAAATCAAGATGTTAAAGATGAATCATTCTTGTGATTTTAGAAAGGTCAGAAAAAACTGTTCTGTTCCTGTAGTGACCAAAAAGTAAATAAAATGCTTCATAGGTAATTCAGAAGTCTTGACTTATACAAAGGTACTTTCAGTTGCATTAATCCTGACTTACTCTTAGCAGTCCTGATAATTTTCTCTCAACACACTTATGCACTCAGTTGTGCTGTTTTTTTTCACCAGTGTTGTTCTTGTTAGAAGATTTCTGCTACATGACAGCATCCCAAAATGAAAGCAAAAACTACATATTATTATTCATGATGTGGAAAATGAATACTTCCTTCAGTATGTGAGCCTGTACATTTAGCCAGGGAGCTTTCTCTGAAAAAGGTGAACCTTTGAGAGGTGTCCAGGATGCCTGGTGCCAGACCCTAGAATCCTTGCTCCAGTGCTGCTGCTAACATGACTTCATGTGTTATCCTACAACCAGAGAATGGGCACTAGTGTATCTGGGTGGTATAAAGGGGGAGCTTGTAGGAAAACTTAAGGAGTTCTTTGGCTTTACAGGGGAGGAGTTCTGCTTCAATGCAGCTTAGCTTCCCCTTCTATGCAGCAGAACCTCCTTTTTAAGGTTTGAAGCTTCACCATTAGGAAAAGCAGCCACAAGGTTGCATTGTAGTTCTGGGAGATTGGAAATAATATCTGTGTGCCAGGTAATAGCTTAGATTTCATAGATTTCATAGACATAGGGCTGGAAGGGACCTCGGAAGATCTTCGAGTCCAGCCCCTGCCCCAGGGGCAGGAAGTCAGCTGGGGTCATAGGATCCCAGCAACATAAACATCCAAATGTCTCTTGAAGGCATTCAAAGTAGGTGCTTGAACCACCTCCGGCAGCAGTCTATTCCAAACCTTGGGGGCTCGGACAGTAAAGAAGTTCTTCCTTATGTCCAGCCTGAAACGGTCATGGAGGAGTTTGTGACCGTTGGACCTTGTCATCCCTTGGGACGCTCTGGTGAACAGACGTTCCCCCAGATCCTGGTGAGCACCCCGATAAATTTATAGGTGGCCACCAGATCACCCCTGAGCCTGCGCTTTTCCAGGCTGAAGAGTCCCATAGCTCTCAGCCTCTCATCATACGGTCTGTTTTCCTGACCTTGGGTCATGTGTGTGTGGCTCTCCTCGGGACTCTCAAGCTTCTCCACATCCTTTCTGAATTGTGGAGCCCAAAACTGGATGCAGTACTCCAGCTGCGCCCTCACCAAGGCCGAGGACAATGGGAGAATAACATCCTGGGATTTGCTTGAGAAGCATCTATGGATGCAAGCCAGCGTTTTGCTTGCTTTACTAGCCACAGCATCACATTGAAGGCTCATGTTCATCTTGTGGTCAGTCATGACCCCCCCAAGTCCCTTTCATCTGTAGTGCTATAAGCATGCTGCGGGTTTTTCTTCCCAAGGTGGAGAACCTTGCATTTTTCAGTGTTAAACACCATCAGGTTCTCATCTGCCCATTTCCTGAGCCTGTCCAGGTCAGCCTGGATCGTCCTCCTGTCCTTAGGTGTGGATGCTTTACCCCAAAGTTTGGTGTCGTCGGCGAACTTGGCCAGTCCGCTTCTGACTCCAACGTCCACATCATTAATGAAGATGTTGAATAATATAGGCCCAAGGACAGAGCCTTGAGGGACCCCCCTGGTCACAGCGCATCACAACAATTGACTTCCATCAACCACCACCCTCTGGGTCCGACCACGGAGCCAGTTGCCCAGCCAGCGGACCGCAGTAAAGCTGAGGCTACAGTTGGCCAGTTTTGCTAAAACGTGATCATCGGATACCAGATTGAAGGCTTTTTTAAAGTCAAGATATACGACATCAATCTCTTCCCCCTTGTCCAGGTGATAGGTCACCTGGTCATAAAAGGAAATAAGATTGGTCAAGCAAGGCCTACCCATGACAAACCCATGCTGATTGTCCCTCAGGATTTTGCCATCAGCCAGTCTGTTGAGAATGATCTCTTTGATAATCTTTTCTAGGATCTTCCCCAGGATAGAGGTTAGGCTGATGGGCCTGTAGTTTGCCGGATCCACTTTCCTCCTTTTCTTGAAGATAGGCACCACATTGGCCTTCTTACAATCATCGGGCACTTCACCAGAACGCCAAGAGTTCTTGAAGATCCGTGCCAGGGGCTAAGCTCTGATGCTTGCAAGCTCCTTGAGTACCCTGGGGTGTGAGCTGTCGGGGCCGGCTGACTTGAAGGAATCCAGCCTCTCAAGCTGTTCCTTCACGATGTTAGCACTGATGGAGGGTAAGGAGTCTCCCTCACCCGGGCCTTCCCATCCCGTAATGGTCAGGGGCATCCCATGGGACTGTTGAAAGACTGGCACAAAGTACCCATTTAGCAAGTTGGTTTTTTCCTGGACATCGGTTGTCAACTGTCCCGTCTGGTTTAGCAGGGGTCCAATGTTGCCCTTGCTTTTCCTCCAGCTTCCCACATATCTAAAAAAGGACTTTTTATTGTCCTTGATATTTGTAGCTAGCTTGGAGTTCTGTCGCAGCCTTGGATTTCCTGGCTTGCTCTCTGCAGTTCCAGGCCAGTGCAGAATATTCCTCCTTGGAGGTGGATCCAGTCCTCCATCCTTTGTAGGTCTGTCCGCTAGTTCCCTGCAGAGTCAAGGGGGCTGCTGTGCCCTTTTGCTGCCTTTCCTCCAAGATGGGATAGACTTTGCTTGTGCATTCAGGATCGCTCCCTTGAAGAGCAACCACTCTTCATGAACTCCCTTCCCCTTTGGGTCATGGTCCCTTAGGGCCTCACTGACAAGCTTCCTGAGCTTGTCAGTCAGCTTTCCTGAAGTTGAGAACTTCTGTATTGCTGACTCTCTTGCCAGATTTACGGCAGATTGTGAAGGTGATCAGCTCGTGGTCACTGTCACCCAGCTTCCCTTCAGTCATTAGGTCACTGATAAGGTTGTCCCCCATTGCCAGTACCAGGCCAAGCAGTGCTTTGCCTCTTATTGGCCTGTGGACTTTTTGTGTCGTAGCTCATCCACGCACATGAGAGAGCCAAATCCGAACAGTCGCAAAGCTGAGTGCTCTTCCCACAAGATGTCTGAGTAGTTGAAGTCTCCCATGACATGGACAAGGAGCGTGTGGCCTCGGCCAATTTCCTGGCTAACTCCTGGTCCAGCTCTTGATCCTGGGTCGGAGGTCTGTAGTAGACTCCCACCATTGTGTTCCCTGTGCTGTGTTCCCCACAGATTTTAACCCAAAGGGTCTCCAGTCGTCCACCCTGGGCGCTATGTTGGCTTGCAGGGATGCGTAGCTTTCCTTGACAGAGAGAGCTACATCCCCACCCCTTTTGTCCACTCAGTCTCTCTTGTACAAGGTATAGCTGTCCATACCTGTGGCTTGGCTGAATCTAAATGTCAGTGCTGTATGTTGAGAGTCTGTATCAATATTTTCACTGATCTCATGGTACGTACTATTGGACAGACTACCCTGTTGCAAATTTGGTTTTAAATTATCCTGAAATAAGAAGCTCCCTCCATCCTGCCTAGCCTTGTCACTGTAAAACTAGATAGAAAACTGGGTACCAAAAGGTTGGGAACAATAATGGAATAGATAAATTGGGTAAAGTCATCAAGGAACAAACAATATAATTTTAATATTTAAGGGATGGTGAAATATGATGGATGCTTGAAGTAGTTGGAGGTGGTTATTGCTACTAAATTAAGTTTCCTAGAAAGCGACTGAAGAACAGAAGACTTATTTTCTATAGCTAACTCTCTTCTGAAATATGTGACTCTCCCATGTAAAGTATTCATGAACTCTGTCTAGCTATTTGAAAGAGAGAAGAGCTAAGTCAAGCTTGCCAGGATTTTCTGTCTTTCTGTTTCAGACTACTGAAACATTAAAAGTCTGTCCTCTGGCTGTAACATAACGACACTATGACTAACATCTAGCTGCTGACACAGCACTTTTCTTTAGCAGATCTCAAGGTGCTAATAAAAAAAGTGCTGAATTGTCTCTTTGAGCATGGGGACACAGGTAGTCAACCATGGGATAAAATGGGGCACGGATTTACCACATGTTGGCTGTTCAGTAGTTACTGCCACTAGGTACGTTCTTACCCCTTGGTAAGTGAAAGCTAACCCAAGGTAGCTTACCTCACTTCTACTGAATGCGAACCATTACTGCCTGATTATTATTGGTTGTTAACCCTTTGACTTTTTCAGTGTTTATTTTCAATGTACTTGATTTAGATATGTAGTTTGCATAAAAGAGCCACTTGCTACTGCCTTTAAAAAAGATGCTTTTATCAGCTTGTTGTCTCTCTTCAGGGATGATTCTGGTCCAGAAGACAATATTTGGAAAGGCATCCTCTCTGTGATTTTCTTCTTCCTAATCATCAGTGTTCTAGCTTTTCCAAATGGTAAGTTAATTTATTCTCTACCTTTCTTTTGTCTGCACGTTTTCTTTTATTATGGTCATGTTTCTTCTGAGTTGGAAAGTGTGGCTTAATCTTTCATCACTGTTTTACATTACTGCAAGTTAAGTAACTTCATGCATAATCAGCTTTTAATGGCTGAACTGAAATATTAAAAAAATTCAGAGTATTTCTGGCTTGCATGTTTCTGAGCCCTGTCACTTCAAAATAGAAATAGCCTCCTTTTTTCAGCTGCAGAGCTGGAGATTAGATTAACTATTTATACTGAAGACGGGTTGAAGACTCTTATATAGTGATCTACATCAATAAGTGTCAAAGTGCTTAATAAAGGAAGTCAGTCATTATCCCATTTTACTAATAAAAAAGCTGAAGCAAACAGAGGCCAGTGAAACTCTATGGTCTCATTGTAGGCTAAGGGAATGAGTCCAAATGTAAACCTTCCAGTGGATGGAAAACAGCAGAGATGCATTATTTGAATCTCTGTGCGATAAGAGAATGAAATCTAACAGGATATTTTAATAATTTGCTGGGGTGCAAAGTAAATCAAAATAATTGTTTAGTATTTCTATGCCCTACTTATGATGTATTGCAAAGGGTAAAGCTCTGATGATGCTGGACACTGTTGAGTTAGATGCATTATAGTCTTTGCTAGCTTACTGTTGTCACATTGTATGTGTTTGTATGTTATAGGTCAGTTTTGCCACCAAGTTCAGGTGTTACTAGGATGCCAGGGCTAAGCATTAGTATTCACCAGCTGCTTATCAGGACTGAATTCTAGCTCTAAAAAGGCTGTCTCCTGTTTAAATTTCATTAACTGACCTTTTTCACAGCCTGCTTGTAGAAATGATGAATTTGAGAGATGAGGGAAAGCACAGGGAGTTTGAAGATTTTCTTTCTGCTAGAGCACCTCTAACTTTCATATTTCCAACAGTTTTCTAATCCTCTCTTTCTAATAGTAGGGTCTTATTTCTGTATTCCGTATGTGCTGAGAAATCCAATTTTTTATTTCAGTTTTTGCATTCATTGCATGAAGCTGCACATATAGCATACCTCTGTGTTTATGTGCTGATTTCCTGTATAAATGTGCACATTTCACAAAAGAGTTTTACTGTATTTATTTGCATATCACTAGCTCCTTGGTAGGACATACACCTTGTCCGGGGAAGGCAAAATGAAGACAAGACTTTTCCTTTTAAACAAACTGTTAAGAATCAGTGCCCTCATTTCAGACACACTCGAATTTTCAACTGTTAACTTTAGTGGGGAAAAAGGTGTGTGAAAGGTGAATAAATAGGGTACAATGGCGTGAGATGATTTAGTGTATTTAGGGTATTTTCATTAAGCAAGTGTTTGGAGGAAGCTCTGCTATTGCTACACACAGCATAAAAAGTGAAAATTTAGGGTAGTAGAGGGAGCTTGTTAAAGCATCTGATCAGCTCTGTCTTCAGTCATAGTTTCATAGTAGTTAGGGGTCAGAAGGGACCTGAATAGATCATCTAGTCTAACTCCCTGCCACTGGTTGGAGCACACGCTGGGATCACATGACCCCAGACAGGTGTTCATCCAACCTCTTTTTTTAATTCACCCGAGGTGGGAGCGAGGACCACTTCCCTAGCAAGTTGGTTCCTCATCCTAGCTACCCTGACAGTGAAATAGTGCCTCCTAATCTCTAACCTGAACCTGTTCTCTAGCAGCTTCTGGCCATTGTTCCTCAGCACCCCAGGTGCTGCTAGGGGGAATTGGACTCTTCCTATTTGCTGCTGATCTCCCCTAATGAGTTTGTAGACAGCCACCAAATCCCCCCTCAGCCTCCGCTTGCTGAGGCTGAACAGGTTCAGATCCCTCAGCCTCTCCTCATAGGGCCTGCCCTGTTGCCCTCCAACCAAGCGGGTGGCCCTCCTCTGAACCCTCTCAAGGCAGGCCACATCCTTCTTAAAGTGCGGTGCCCAGAACTGGACGCAGTACTCCAGTTGAGGCC